ATAATAAAGAAAAAGAAGGAGAAGAAGAAGAAGAAAATGAGAACTTTGAGATGGAATATTAATATAACAATTAAACAATGATAATAACAAATGTCAAGGTTAGAGGTTCCACTAATGGTATGTCAAACAAGTATAGTATAAACTCTTATTATTCAATTGGAAACCACACACAAAGGAGGTTCCAATCTGATTATAGATTGTTAACATGATTACATTAGTCATCTTATTCGATTAATGCTAATACTTGTAAATCTCGTCAAACATTCATGATTATAACTTATGTTAACAATAAATCAAATTCCTTTTAGAGCTCAGATGTCGGTTATACCATACAGTATGGGCTATGAAAGTGCCAAGCATTTGTTGTACCAAGTGTTACACAACATAAATCAAGATTAGTCATTTAACAAGCAAAGTATTAAAGAGTGAACAAGATAACAAATAAAAAATATGTTAGTATCAAACATTAAAGTCCATATTAAGTTTACACTATACTTATTCTTATACCATTAGTGTACCCTTTTCACCTTGACATAATAAACTTAGCTAAACATAATAAAAGAAAGAAAAATAAATAAACAAAATAAGAACATAAACAAGATAAAAGTTAACTAAGTAAAGGAAAGGAAATGAAAGGCATAAACTTGATATTAATAAAAGCAAAGCAGAAGCAATACCAAAAAATACAAAGAGAGAAAGTAAAAGCATGATCTTGATCTGGAGACCAAGATGCCTAAATGCATGGCAAATGCCTCCTTTTATAGGCTAAAATTGAAAACTATTGATTTGATGACTAATTGATGAGTGGGTGACCAACTCTTGACTTGGTGACAGTCCTTATCTTCTCTTGTCTGCCCAAAATATCATTGATAACGTTAAAATTGCAGTCACTCAAAAACATAAAAGTTGTAGGCAATTGTCTCAGCTTTCTTGTGTAAAAATTTCAGCTCATTTCGACTTCTAGAACTCCAGATATGACCAAAATACTGAACAGTGCTCGGGTTGGAGGATAGATTCGGGCTTCTTTGTTGTTGCAACAATTTGGATTTGAAAGTTGTAGGCCTATGTCTTACCTTTCCATCCATATAAAGTAAACCTAAATCTGAGATCTATAGCTCCAGATATGACCCAATTACCGAATAGTATTCCGGTTTGGATTGCACCGACATCTCTTTACTAAGTTTGGCCATCTCTTTATCCTTTCAATTTCAGTTCTTAAATTCATCAATCAATCCTTTTATTTATGTGATAGGCATGCATTTAAAATGAATATTTACCACAAATTAAAGGTATCTTATATTATTAGATATATTATTATAGAACATGCTTTAGTTAAGGAGTTATTGATACTTCAAGTGCAAAATGATGATATAAAACCTTGATAAAAATGCACTTTTAAGTACTAATCACCTAACCCTTGGTTTGTAAACTTAAAATGTGCTCAGAATTATGTCAACAAGTTTTCATCAAGATTTTTCCAAGTGTTTTTTAAGCTTTTTAAATGGTTAGGTCATTAAGTTTGTTAGTTTTAGATATGTCTTGAACCTAACATATGATTTAAACTTAAAATGTATTTAAAATTATGTTGAAGGATTTTTGACAAGTTTTTGTTAAGTTATCATCAAGTTTCATTTAAGCCTTTTCAAATGGTTAAGTAGACGAGTCTTCTAATTTCAAAGACTGATGTAGGTCTAGTGAGATGTATTTCTTTACTAAAAATATAAAAAATCAAATCAAAAAATTATCAAGTTGTGAGACTCTTGATTTCGAGTCTAATGCTAGCTCAAAAAAATATTAATCAAGAATAAATTAATCACAAATAAGCTTAAAAATAACTTGGACAATAGATGACATACATAAGACAAATTTATGAGAAAAAACATAGCAAAGATAACCTTTTCTCTAGAAATGATGTTGTAATGGTTATGTTTATCTCCTCTCAAGCATTATTAACTTTATATTATAATATTTGAAACTAGTGCATATTTTAGGATTCTTAACTTTTTTAAAACATAGGTGGAGACTCCATTTTCCATCTTTCCCTTTAAATTTAAAAGCCTAAATTATATTAGGCAACGACAATATGACAATTCTATTAAGCACCCTAGGGTTAAGCCTATATGGCTGTGTATTTTTTTTCACTTTCTTTATTGTCAATTATTTTTTAGCATTTATTTTATTTATATTATCTAATGTTATTTATTATTTATCATTTTTATTTAAATTTGCTTGATTGAATGTATAGGATTGAATGTGCATACATATTATTTCTTAAGTTTTCACACACTTTACAAAAACCAATAAAAACTTTGTGATTAGTACTTAAAAGTGTACTTTTATCAAGGTTTTATTTCATCATTTTGCACTTGAAGTATCAATAACTCCTTAACTAAAGCATGTTTTATAATAATATATCTAATAATATAATATACCTTTAATTTATGGTAAATGTTCATTTTAAATGCAGGTCTATCACATAAATAAAAAGATTGATTGATGAGTTTAAGAACTGAAATTGAAAGGACAAAGAGATGGCCAAACTTAGAAAAGAGATGTTGGTGCAGTCCAAATTGAAACATTGTTCTGTAGTTGGGTCATATTTGGAGCTCTAGATCTCAAATTTAGGTCTACTTTATATAGATGAAAAGGTAAGACATAGGCTTACAACTTTCATATGAGTCCAAGATTTAAAAAGGTCATTTTCAAGTCCAAATTATAGTAACAACAAAGAAGTCTGAATTTGTCCTCCAACCTGTGTACTGTTCAGTGTTTGGCCCATATCTGAAATTCTAGAAGTGCAAATGACCTCCATTTATTTTTCCTGGAAATTTGAGACAATTTCCTACAACTTTCATGTTTTCAAGTGGTTCCAATTCTAACGTTATCAATGATGTTTTGGGCAGACAAGAGAAGATAAGGATTGTCATCAAGTCAAGAGTTGCCCACCCATTCATCAATTAGTCATCAAATCAATAGTTTTTAGTTTTGGCCTATAAAAAGAGGCATTTTCCATGCATTTAGGCATCTTGGTTTCCATATCAAGATCATGCTCTTGCTTTCTCTCTTTGTATTTTTTGTATTGCTTATGGTTTGCTTTCATTAATATCAAGTTTATGCCTTTCATTTCCTTTCCTTTACTTAGTTAACTTTTATCTTATTGATGTTCTTATTTTGTTTATTTATTTATTTTTCTTTCATTATGTTTAGCTAAGTTTATTATGTTAAGGTGAAAAGGTTACACTAATGGTGTAAGAGTAAATATAGTGTAAACTTAATATAAACTTTAATGTTTGAAACTAACATATTTTGTATTTGTTATCTTGTTCACTCTTTAATACTTTGCTTGTTAAATGACTAATCTAGATTTATGTTGTATAATACTTGGTACAACAAATATTTGGCACTTTCATAGCCCATACTGTATGGTATAACAGACACCTGAGCTATGAAAGGAACTTGATTTGTTGTTAACATAAGTTATAATCATGAGTGTCTGACAACATTTACAAGTATTAGCATTAATCGAATAAGATAACTAATGTAATCATGTTAACAATTTATAATCTAATTGGAACCTCCTTTGTGTGTGGTTTTCAATTGAATAATAAGAGTTTATACTATACTTGTTTGATATACTATTAGTGAATTCTCTAATCTTGATATTTGTTGTTATTATTATTTAATCCTTACATTGATCTTTCATCTTAAAGTTCTCATCAACTTCTTTTTCCTTTTCTTTTTCTTTATTACTATTATTATTGTTGTTGTTGTTGTTGATGATGTTGCTATTGTTTTTGTAGTATTATTATTATCTATAATTTATACAATTAACCTCCCTATGGTTTGATCCTAATTTTGCCAGGTTATTTATTATTCAACACTCCTGCATTTGAAAAAAGATATCATTTTTTTGGTCATGTCGTTGTACCTAATGAAGATCGAAAAAACTTCACTGTGTTTGAGCTTTCTTCCCGAATGATAACAGACCGGATAAGGGTGTTACCAACACAAAAAAAAAACCCTTGATGTTAAAGTCAGTTCATATTTTTTAGGTAAATATTATGTAAAAATAATGAGTAGAGAGAGTTAGATATATTTTTTTCTATGTTGAGATAAAAAAATTTTTCATTCTCTCTAGCTAAAACATAGAATGAATATATAGTTTAAAAAACATGAAAATATCTAGAAAAAATATTTTAGCTGCTTGAATGATAATGTTATTTCTTATAATTTTTTTATGTAAAGTTATAACTTATAATAAATAAAAAGAGAGAAAGAGTTAAAAAATAAAAAAGGAAAAAAAAACCGAGATTGGGTCCTGGCCCAATCAAGTTTACATCATTTTTTTTATCTTCATTATTAATACTAATGGAAACAAAGTTTGTTATTTTAAAAGAGCAATTTTTGCTTGTTATATATCTTTTCTCTTTATTTTTTTAGGTTGATGACTATTTTTACCATTAATAAAGAAAAGAGAATGACTATTTTTGATTTCCAGAAAAAATGCTTTCTGCCTTTGATTTAATGAGTTCTTGGCTGAACAAAGAGCGACTAAGGAAAAGCCTTCTAAAATTCAAGAATATAAGTGTATATAGTAGGGATTGAAGACGAGAAAAACACTTTGCTTGACCATAGCCATAGGAAGACTCGCAGGTTGGACTAGGAAACCTACTTAAAGACACCATCTATGTTATTTGTTCTCTGATATCTACACATGAGAACTAATTAAGGATATGTAGTTTATTACGAGAGTGGCGTGTGTACTAACCAAGACTTTTCATTTAGATATGAATTCAAATATTCAAATTTAAGAATGAAGTGATTAATAACAAACTTGAATGAAGATGATTATATATTTTAATGTGTATGTATACACACACGATTGAATTTCATTTATCTAATTCTTCCACAAAAGATATTATTTATTTTTAAATTTTAATAGAAGTAAAAGTTGAAACCATATAGTATAACTATGTTAATTTCAAGACATGAGTCCGGCATTCACACTTTCAGGTGGGATGAGGGAACCATGTTTCATGATCTGTCGAGGTGAAGCATCGAACATGCGTCACGTGTTTGGCTCCTGTCTTTTAAGACCCATGTTTCGGAGATTTGAGGTTGAAATCTCTTTCCAACCAGCAAGCTAGCTCCCTCTCTCCTGCGTGTTCACTTGTTTCATCTCTCTCTCTCTAAGAACTCTCCCTTTTTACTCTTTTTTAGAGACGATAGGCCGTTACAAACTACAAATTAAGTTCAAGCTATTCGGTTGTTGATATGATTCCTTTGTTATTTCTGATGGGTCTGTCTCCATCTCTGAATGTAATTTAAGAAAAAGGAGCTGTGAGTATTTAACGAAATCTCAACCTGGTGAGTTGGACGCCTTTGTCTCGTCTTCTTTGTGTTCTTATCTAAGCCCATTCCACAGAATCTCGCCGGAAAACAAACCTCCTTTTCCGGCCCAAGAGTCTCAAGCTTCCCACCATCTCCAGGAGTACACATGGGCGCTTTCAACAAAGCATCATCAATCTTGTTCATTTTTCTTGCTTCGATTTTCTCTATTTGTTCTAGACCCTTATTTGCAGACATTAATGGAGACATTACCACACCATTAAACCCACCTCCACCTCCTCCACCCCTTTCGCAGTCAAATACTAGCAGACCAAATGAGACACCATTCAGGACAAGCATAGCCATAATTGTAGCCGTTTTAACCACCATATTTTCCGTTACCTTTCTCTTACTTCTCTATGCCAAACACTGCAAGCGTGGAAATGGTAACACTATCAGCGTTGTGGGCTACAACATTAACGATCCGAATGTAAGAGCGGCAAGAAAACACTCAGGGATCGACCGAGCGGTAATCGAGTCGCTACCAATATTTCGGTTCAGCTCACTTAGAGGGCAAAAGGAGGGACTAGAATGCGCTGTTTGCTTAACAAGATTCGAGCCTACAGAAGTTTTAAAATTACTTCCCAAATGCAAACATGCATTCCATGTCGAATGCGTGGATACTTGGCTTGACGCTCATTCAACATGCCCTCTTTGTCGCTACCGAGTGGATCCAGAGGATATTCTGTTGATTGGAAATGATGTTAACAATATCAATTACAACAATGCAGAACAAGATCCTGAATTCTTGGACATTGAAAGCGGAAAACAAGGAGACGGTTCCACCGCCGCGTCTCCAGGATTCCGGCGAATTTCAGGCAGGCATTCTTCGGCTGGTGAGAGGGTGAGTAGTTGGTTCCAGCACAGGTTAGGAGCTGTTCCCGCTGCGACGTCGTTTAGAAGGTCCATGGACAGTTCGAGTTCGAGAAAGAGGAATATCGAGTCTGCATCTCTGACCGTTGGATGTATTGATCGCGGCGGCCATAGAAAGGACGGGCTTCTCTTGACCATTGATGATAAAACAAGATTAGAGCATAGGATAATCGTCTCAGGTGGGTTCCACCAGAGATGGAGCGACGTACAGCCGTCAGATCTACTTTATCTACGGTCAGAAATGATATTAAGTGACAGCCGTAGATTGTCGACATCGTCAGCATCGGCATCAGTGAATCTGCAGTTGGACTTGGTAGGGGATGGGAGGCATCGGGATGGGACTGGTGGCAGTGGCAGAAGTGTAATAAATACAAGAAGCGTGTCCGAAATCACGGGTTTGAACAGGTTTGCGAGACGAAGCAGTAATAACATCAATCAAGAGGGACAGGTAGCTGGGGTTGTTTCGAGATGGTTGGCTTGGATTTCTTCTCTCTCACAGCCAGCAGTACGGTCAGAGCGTACTGCCACTTCAGCTTCTTAGCATTGTTTTGTTCTATACACGACGGGATAATAATAATAATGCAATTAATTATTAGGAGGAGCACGGAAACAAACACTGTAGGATTTCGCTTTTTTTTTTTTTAATTAAAAAAAAAAAACTAGTGGAGCGGGGCAAGCAGGTTTTTGTCTTGCTTTTACCTTTTTTTTTCAAGTTATAATAATTTTTATGAATTTTTTAATGTTTAAATACAAACAATTGAATTTTCATGGATTGTATAGATATAAAATATAGAGATTTAATGTTGAATTTCTCAAACTAAATGAAATAACTAATAGTTTATTTATATTTTAAAATAAAATCATAAAGATTTTGTTTACTCTTTTCTATTCCATAATAGCTGTGTAATGAAAAGTGATTGATAAAAATTCGAATGGTGCACCATCATAATCATAATAATAAAAAAGGTGAATAAAACGTTACGGAAGAAAAGTGGGGAGTAAAATTATTGGGTTTTTAAAAACATATATACATAACAAAAAAACAATATATAGTTAATCTAGTTTCACCTAATAAATAAGATATACTTATTAGTTACATGAGAAAACTTGGTTTTTTTAAAAAATATATAAAAAATGTTTTTATTAATTTTTAAATAAAAATATATTATTTTAATTGATTTGAAATAACTAATTTAAACAAACTCGTTTTAAGTAGAGTAATGTAATAAGTATTTATTTTTACATTACAACTTGCTTTTTTTAAATGTATTTTAACAGAAAGATATCAAATTAATTATTTTAAATAATTTTGATATTAATATTAAAAAAATATTTTAATATATTTTTATTGTTTTTAAAGCACTGTGGATACGATAACAAATAAACTCCAGTCAAGTTTAATAATTGTAAATAACTCGAATCGGAAATTTGGAGCACATGGATGGAAGAAGAATGTCCAGGTACAGCTGTTATACGGTTCCCTGAAAGCATTACAGTATTTTGTCTGTTTGTTGGTGGCTTTTTGGAGGATACAAACGGCGGGTATTGGAAGTTGATTCTTCGGTAGCCACTCTCCGGAAGCCTTCTACACTGTTCAATAGAGTATTAGTAATTTGTTTATATTAGAAGACAAAAGCTCCGAAGCACTTCAAAAGCTCTATTAATTTATATAAAAACCTAAAGCATGTCATTTATTATTACTTTGGATCCTCTAACTTAAGTGTAAATTACTTAAGTGGCCATATGTGTATTTTCAAAGGAATACTTTGGCATTAAATTAATTCTCTTGTTTTGCATGTCTATTGTTTTTTTCTTTTTAAATATCACAATGACAAAACAAATAGCACAATTAGAAACCTAATCTTCTTTGTAAAAATAACATGATTTATTAAGATATTCAGGCCTCACATGCGGCACCAATTAAATTAAAACCAATCAAATTAAAAGACTCATATAAATTACTTTCCATGTTTTTCTTTATTCCTCCTTTTCCTTCTATGTACCACCCTCCCCCCTCCCCCCTCCCCCCTCCCCCCTCTCTTAATTTCTCTCCATTGCAACAACTCTCTCTCCATCACGACAAAAAATATTTTTCTCTTTTTTTTCTTTTACCGTGTCCTCTCTCTACCTCTCTCTACTTGTGATGTTTGTAATTTGATTAGTACTTAAAAGTGCATTTTTATCATGATTTTATATCATCATTTTGCACTTGAAGTATCAATAACTCCTTAACCAAAACATGTTTTATAATAATATATCTAATAATATAAGATACCTTTAATTTGTGGTAAATGTTCATTTTAAATACAGGCCTATCACATAAATGAAAGGATTGATTGATGACTTTAAGAACTTAAATTGCAAGGATAAAGAGATGACCAAACTTAGAAAAGAGATGTCGGTGCAATCCAAACCGGAACACTGTTCGGTAATTGGGTCATATCTGGAGCTATATATCTCAGATTTAGTTCCAATTTATATGGATGGAAAGGTAAGACATAGGCCTACAACTTTCATATGGAGCCCAAGATCTAAAAAGGCTATTTTCAAGTCCAAATTATAGCAACAACAAAGAAACCCGAATCTGTCTTCCAGCTCGAGCACTGTTCAGTATTTTGGCCATATCTGGAGTTCTAGAAGTCCAAATGAGCTGAATTTTTTACACAAGAAAGCTGAGACAATCTGGCTCCAATTTTGACGTTATCAATGACATTTTGGGCAGACAAGAAAAGATAAGGATTGTCACCAAGTCAAAAGTTGGCCACCCACTTATTAATTAGTCATCAAATCAATAGTTCCCAATTTTGGCCTATAAAAGGAGGCATTTGCCATTCATTTAGCCATCTTGGTTTCCAGATCAAGATCATGCTCTTCCTTTCTCTCTTTGTATTTTTTGTAATGTTTATGCTTTGCTTTCATTAATATTAAGTTTATGCCTTTCATTTCCTTTCCTTTACTTAGTTAACTTTTATGTTCTTATTTTGTTTATCTATTTTGCTTTCTTTCATTATATCTAGCTAAGTTAGTTATGTCAAGGTGAAAAGTTTACACTAATGGTGTAAGAATAAGTATAATGTAAACTTAATATGGACTTTAATGTTTGATACTAACATGTTTTATAGTTGCTATCTTGTTCACTCTTTAATACTTTGCTTGTTAAATGACTAATCTTGATTTATGTTGTATAACACTTGGTACAACAAATGTTTGGCACTTTCATAGTCCATAATATATGGTATAACAGACACCTGAGCTATGAAAGGAACTTGATTTGTTGTTAACATAAGTTATAATCATGAATGCTTGACGAGATTTACAAGTATTAGCATTAATTGAATAAGATGACTAATGTAATCATGTTAATAATATATAATCTGATTGGAACCTCCTTTGTGTGTGGTTTCCAATTCAATAATAAGAGTTTATACTATACTTGTTTCATATACCATTAGTGGAACCTCTAACCTTGACATTTGTTATTATTATTGTTTAATCCTTACATTAATTTTCCATCTCCACGTTCTCATCATCTTCTTCTTCTTCTCTTTCTTTATTATTATTATTAATACTACTACTACTACTACTACTACTACTACTACTACTATTATTATTATTATTATTATTATTATTAGTATTATTATTATTACTATTATTATTATTATTATTATTATTATTATTATTGTTGTTGTTGTTGTTGTTGTTGTTGTTGTTGTTATTGTTATTGTTATTGTTGTTGTATTATTGTTATTTATAATTTGTACAAATAACCTCCCTGTGGTTCGACCCCGGTCTTGCCGGGTTATTTATTACTTCGACACTCCTGCACTTGGGAGAAGACATCAATCTTTTAGTCGTGTCAATGTTCAATACTTTTTAAGCTAGGTATTATTTAACTTTTATCTTTTTTTTCATGACTTAGATTTGGAAAATCCATACTTGCATTTAAGGGGATTTGAGGAGGTTTGCAACATAATGATTCAAATTGTAGCATGAACACCATCAGATTAAAGCTTTTCCATTTTTTCATTAAAAGATAAGCATAAAGAGGTGCATATCTATGAGAATTTTAGAAATTATGGTGTGCTTGAAATTGTGATTGTCAAGTTTGTGCATTGTCACTTTTCCAATTAAAATTTGGGTGATTTCTCTAACCAGGGTTATATGTTTACGAGTATGAGTTATGATTAGGCCTTTGAAAATTGTTAAAAGCATGAGCTTGTTTATGGAGACATTCCTTAAAAGAAGGCAATATTGGACAATCATTGGTTGAGTGTTCATTTGTTTCACAAATTTGACATGCAATGTCTTGAATAGATTTTAATTGACCACTTTTTTGTTTGACATACCATTAGTGGATCCTCTAACCTTGACATTTGTTGTTATCATTGTTTAATCCTTACGTTAATATTCCATCTTAAAGTTTGATTAGTACTTAAAAGTGCATTTTTATAATGGTTTTATATCATCATTTTGCACTTGAAGTATCAATAACTCCTTAACTAAAACATGTTTTATAATAATATATCTAATAATATAAGATACTTTTAATTTGTGGTAAATGTTCATTTTAAATGTAGGCCTATCATATAAATGAAAGGATTGATTGATGACTTTAAGAACTTAAATTGCAAGGGCAAAGAGATGACCAAAATTAGAAAAGAGATGTCGGTGCAATCCAAACCGGAACACTGTTCAGTAATTGGATTATATCTGGAGCTATAGATCTCAGATTTAGGTCTACTTTATATGGATAGAAAGGTAAGACATAGGCCTACAACTTTCATATGGAGCCCAAGATCTAAAAAAGCCATTTTCAAGTCCCAATTATTGCAACAACAAAGAAGCCCGAGCATTGTTTAGTATTTTGGCCATATCTGGAGTTCTAGAAGTCCAAATGAGCTGAATTTTTTACACAAGAAAGCTGAGACAATTGCCTACAACTTTCATGTTTTGGAGTGGCTCCAATTTTGACATTATCAATGATGTTTTGGGCAGACAAGAGAAGATAAGGATTGCCACCAAGTCAAGAGTTGGCTACCCACTCATCAATTAGTCATCAAATCAATAGTTCCCAATTTTGGCCTATAAAAGGAGGCATTTACCATGAATTTAGGCATCTTGGTTTCCAGATCAAGATCATGCTCTTGCCTTCTCTCTTTGTATTTTTTGTAATGTTTATGCTTTACTTTCATTAATATCAAGTTTATGCCTTTCATTTCCTTGCATTTACTTAGTTAACTTTAATCTTATTCATGTTCGTATTTTGTTTATTTATTTTTCTTTCTTTCATTATGTCTAGCTAAGTTTATTACGTCAAGGTGAAAAGGTTACACTAATGGTGTAAGAATAGTTATAGTATAAACTTAATATGGACTTTAATGTTTGAGACTAACATGTTTTATATTTGTTATCTTGTTCCCTCTTTAATACTTTGCTTGTTAAATGACTAATCTTGATTTATGTTGTATAACACTTGGTACAACAAATGCTTGGCACTTTCATAGCCCATACTGTATGGTATAATCGACACCTAAGCTATGAAAGGAACTTAATTTGTTGTTAACATAAGTTATAATCATGAATGCTTGACGAGATTTACAAGTATTAGTATTAATCGAATAAGATGACTAATGTAATCATGTTAACAATCTATAATCTAATTGGAACCT